TCATTCTTTTCCTTGACGATTTGGAATGATTTCCACTTGGCGGGTGGCTTGACGCCATATTGCCATACAGCTGAACGTCGTACCTAAATCAATCCCAATTACACTTTCCATCAGTGTTGTGATTTATGCGATTTTTTTTTCTATCATAAAAAAGAATTTTTAAAAAAAACTTGCATTTTTTTATTACCTCCTTACATTGTTTTTATGGTTTTTTTCGGGGTTTCTCGACATCTATAATTCTTTTTTGTTCTTATCTTCTATCTGTGAATTAATTAAAAATATAATTATTATTATAAAGTTATTTCAAATTTTATACAAGGTAAAGCAGATCTCTACAAATGAGTTGGTTTAATCACAAGAAAAAATTGCCACAAATATTGATGCCTTCATTTCAAAAAAAGATGAATTGATATAAATTTAATTCATTTTGAATAATCGGGATAAATTAAATAAAATTAAAAAAAAGATATTTTCTGAAAAATAAGTATATCCCGAAAATTTTCATAATTTTCGGGATATACTTAAACATAATTGATTAAAATGTTTAAAAAGTAATTCACAAAATAATTAAACTTATAATATAAAATAACTAAAACTAATAGATAATTATTGTAATTATGTATTATAATTTATAATTTAATATGTTATAAACATTAGTATGATATAGACTTCGGGATAGAGCTTTTAATTATGAAAAATTAGTATTTAAAATGCTATTAAAACAGGATGTTATTTTCACAGTTTTTTGGCGTTTTAAATACTAATAATTATCAGTAAAAACAATCGGGTTCAAAGTCTAGTATGATGTAATATCAAAAATTAACACAGGTTAACCTTAGGATTATGAACGAATAACAAAAAATACCAAAAACCACAGAATGACACCATGGTTTTTGGTATTCAAAGTCTCCAGAACTGAAAGGAGGTGAAGTGAACACTTAGGTTTTCCAAAATTTGATAAAACTTGGTTTATTTTTTGATAATTACAAAGGTCAAAGTGAAGGTATAAATTTGAAAGCAAATTTTTAATTTGGGGTTTTTGAGACCAAATTTGGCTTTTTTTGGTTTTATTCATTTGTAAATAAAGCCAACCCCTTTTGATTTGAATTTGATAATGAAAAACAATGCAAACAAAAGAAGACAATCATGGGTCAGCACACAGTCGACCAATTTTCTATCGCCCACCAAAAAAGCTAATTGTGGCCCACACGTCATGTCCAAACCAAAATACATTAAGAACAGAAAACCACTATCGGTTTTAACACAGCTCATGTTTAGGAGAGCTTACTCAAAGATGGTTTTTCAAGTAAAAATTATTTTTATCGATTAATTAAATATAGATTTTTTTGAATTCAGCTGTCATTTGATAGGAAGAATATTTTACTCTTTAATGTTAACAAAAAATATACAATTACTTTAAATCTAAAAAGAGACATGATGACTCCAACAAATGTACCAATTTGGTCTGATAAACAGAAAAATATACTAGACGTGTTTTTAAATAAAAACAAAAAAAACAAACACGTTAAACACATAATGATTGACAACGAAACATCGAAGTAGCCAACACTTAATCGCAACTCAACCTCTATTAACACCGAAACAAAACAAAGAAAATGGCAAGGCCAAAAATAAACAAAATTCAAAAAACAAATATTCCAATCTTACAACGAACAAAAACAATTGTTGGTCTCAAATATTATTACAATTTAAATACACAATTATTATTTGATATTGTTGTTTGAAAATGGTGATATAAAAATGGAAGTTAATGAAAACAATAAAGTTACAACTGGAATGAGTAACTTTTTAACGAGTAAATTTTAGTCAAAAAACCAACAAAAACTAATTTGGTGAACATTATTAAAAATGAGGTTGTGTTGATTAATGGAATAAAATATAATTTTTAATGATAATAGTAAAATTGAAAATAAAATTGTCAAAAGTGAAGAAAGGGTGAATTTTACTGACAAATATAGTGACAATAAATTTTACATTTATTGGCAAATTTTAACAGAGTAGATTTCGAAGAGTTGTTTAATTAATTATCATTGTTGAATGTTTTTTTGAAAGGTTGAACTGACACTTTAAAATTGTTTATACTCCATATGATAATTATTGTAAAACTTTAACACACCACAAATTAAGAAAGTATAACTTATAAAGCTTTTTTTACTTTGTTGTTATGTCACAAAAAAAGAATGTGAATTATTTGGTGGAACAATGTTGAAAGATTTTAATTAATTTATTTTTATTTTTTTAAATAAATA